CGCTCGACCTGACCGACGTCATACACGACCGCCCGCGGGCGCGCCGGTACACACCAGAAAATAATACAAAAAACAATATCTCAATAAATCGTTTCATAACCGCTTCCGATAGAGGTAACTATGTTTGTTTGCCCTCAAAAGCTTTGTAATGTCCACCATGAACTTGCCCACGGGGGGCGGTGTGCGGACGGCGCCGCGGGGGTAGGCAGCCCATCCGCCGCGAGTCTCACCTGGCCGCCGCGCCACCTGGACGCCCGGGAGGGTAGGCAACCCAACTGCCAGCTCCAGCTTCCCGGCCAGCTATCGAGGCTGCCGCACCGGAGCGGAGCATGGAGCATTCGCCCGCGAGCAGATATACCCTAAATGCAAGTTGATGGTGATTTAATAGAGTACCGCTGCAACGGGCGAGCCAACTCGCTCTGCAAGGCCGCACAGCACCGCACCACCACCACCACCACCACCACCATCCTCGCGACAACTTGAGGGGGTGAAAGTTTGGAGCTGCTACGGCTCTGCTGCGACTTGAAACGGCTCCGGCCAACTCGAGCTTGTGCATTTCGAAATGCCTTTCCACCTCACCGGTATATCGGGCGCAACCAGTTCAATGGAGCTCTCTACGACGCGCGGTCTACGCCCCAAATCTTTAAAGGAAAAAAAAAAAAACATTTTTTGAGATACCAACAACACGGCGAACAGCACATAGCACACACGCCCGCGCTTGGCGTTTCCGTTCAAACGACCACAGATCATCCCCCATGTAGGCTCCCCCCCCCCTCCCACTCCTCCGTACCTTCCCCAACGCGCGGCCCAGCGCAGCGCGAGCTCTCTTCCATTTCGCAGGAATGTACGGCAAAAAAATGGGAGGCCCGGGATTGTGATGCAAATGTGCCGAAGAGCCCCGCGAGGCCAGCCCGGTACGCACCCCTAATTCCGCCTCCCCCCCCCCTCTCTCCCTCGGGCTTTTCAGCACTAACCCTTCGCTAGGTGTACCTTTTCCGGTACCGTAGGTGTAACATCAACAACAAAAAAGGGTGGACAAACTCTCATGCTATACTGACTCATGGGCGAAAAGGGAAAAGTAGGGAAAGGTGGGGGATAAATTGGCAAAAAAATATACAGCATGTAGAAAAAATACAACACAAGAAAGAAAAACGAAACAGAAAATATAAGTATAAAAGTAAAGGAAAAAGAAATACAAGAGTGAAGCGTACACAGAGTACACAAAAGTAGTGTATAATCGGCAAACATCAATTTATCGCCATCTCTCCACATTCTTCTGAATGTTCAATAATAATTCTGCAATAAGCAGAGCGCCCTCATTTCCCCTCTGTTCTGAACACGAACATTTATGACTGAGCGAAGTTCTACAGAAAGGATTCTGTCCCCGATAGATAGAAATTTTTACGTACAATTTTAAACTCTGCCTCATAATAGTAATTTTTAATGTATGAATTTTCCGTCACTAATTAATATTAACTATCGGTACGTTTCCCAACTACTGACTGAAGCAGCACCACAATACTACCCGGGGAAATTACAGAAATGTCACTCGCTTCGATAAAGGCAGAAGGGAAAGGAAGGCACTTTGAGCCTGCTTCACGGAAACACGCCCAATGCTTATTTCCATGTGTTCAAACAAACGAGCCACTCACCGAGTCTTTAAACATTTGTATGCAGGAACAAGTAGTGAACATAAAGCAGGCGATAAAGGGGATTGGGAAGATGACGATCGCGCCTTTCTTTGACACCCATTGTTGTTGATGTAAAGTTTCGGCATCACCGCGGATCATGAGGCAGGAGCAGCAGAGTACAACCTGTTGCTCGCAAGGTGCCACACAGACACTCACACACGAGAAAGACCAGATTCACATTCACCCCGACCTTCCTTTGTCGCGCGCCACCGCCGCCGCCTGCTATTCGTATTGAAAGCGAACTTTGATGCCTAGATAGAGCGAGACACGTTTTTATGTACCGCTGCTGCTGCCTTTTAGCCAGTTTGCGAGCGTCAATGGTCGCGGCAGTCAGTCCATTCACACGGGAGGTGACATCAGTTTGTTCTAAAGTGAGTCCCCCCCCCCACCCCCTCCCGGCAGTGAGCCGACAAAGAGACAGCGAGCCTCGCATTATGATGCGCTGTGGTGCCACAGGTGCTAGTGAGTGGCCAGTCACGACATTCAGCCGATTTAAAACGTTTCGCATTTAAATGACATCATTCGTGTTGGCGCGCCCT